GTCCTCTTCTCCCTCTTTGCCTACGCTTCACCAGGCAGCTCTCTATGACTATGACTATATATCGTCAGGAGGCTGAACCCTCAACAGTCTGCAGAATCCCCTCACTGATTACACTGTAAATGATAATCTACCTTAACCAAAATCAAAGTAGACTATCACTCACCCACACCAGATGGAAACCACAGACTGTCGGTTCATATATATATATATATATAGCCAGCGTTGATATGCAAAGTGCTAATGACCGACTTCTGCTAGATCACTGAAAAGAATTTGCCTCTCAACTAAACAATCGAAGCGAAACCACCACTGAAACACAAATGTGCATCTGCGGAAAACGATATCCACCACTGAAACACAACATGCATCAGCGGAAAACGATATCTTAATGGCGTTCATTCCTTGCCTGATTCCGAGTAAAACATCGAAAAGAAAAGAAAAGCATACCCGCCACCGTCGAAATGCATTTTGACATGCAGACGGGCACATGAACAGGACCAAGATGATGCACAAACACGAACGTATTCCGCATCACCCACCCACCCACCCACAGACCCAACCAGTTTGACATGCTGACAGGCACACGAATAGGACCAAGTGACAATGATTGATTCAAAATTCACATCGATGACACAATTTTGGATTCCCACATGCAACAAGCTACAAATTCGTCCTCCCATCCAAATACGTCTGCAATCGCATGGATGAGGTCGGCCGACCGGAGAGCTTGTATCTGAGCGTAATCTACTGACGGTGTACGATGGGGAGGAGGACTTGGCTCGTTGTGTAACTCTGCCCCAGTGGCACATTCCTAAGCACAGACGTTTTAGTTACATCGAACGAGGGCATTCTATGTACCTTCGCCTCACAACCGCCCCGTCGTGGGTAGGATGTACCATGTCTGACATACTTCGGTCTATTCCCTCACCAAGTTATACCCCAAGGCTTGGCACTGCAATATCTCACGAAAGCAACAGCGTTCGATGCACCTCATGGTCAGGCACACCCCGCCAAGCGCGATACATACATACAAACAGCTCATTTCGACAAACAGACCCGAAGAAGTCCCAACACCTTAGAGCGAAATCATTCCATCTTTCCAAGGTTTGTGCCTGGGAGCTCGTCTCTGATCCGAGCAGATCTTTTCTGATATGACACTCCGTGTGGGGTGATTGACTGGGGGCTTATGTCTGAGCGGGTGGCTTCAAAAATGAGACACAGCAGGAGCATGTCCCAGAGCCGGGGGAATATGCAACCCCTTGTTTCATGGGGGATATCGATATCAGGATCCCTGCTCCGATGCGGAGACTTCCTTCAGAGAAGGAGACGTCTCCAACCCATGATTATCTACGAGCTTGCATGACTAGCTACACTCGGAGCTTGCTCAGAAGTATTGTTACTTAGACAAAAAGCATTCTCAGAACCCACAACTAGCTGCCAGCGCATAGGAACGTCAGCTCATCTAGGAGCTCGCATCCTTATGGGTTGGCTTAAAACCACCACCAGCACGTTAAGTCGAACCGGCAGTTAAAGCGCTTCGACTTTTCGAGCACGACCTACCGGAGATGAACGGCTGACGGTTCCAGGCAAAAAAGAAAACACACCGGTTCATCTTTTTTCGACGTTCAGGGCATTTCCAGGCTCGGCAAGGGAAGGGTCACAAGTACAGGTGGTTTAATGTGAGAAGCCAGGATCACTGACCCGCCTTGATCTGGAGACATCAGAGGTAATACACCTCAGCATCTCTTTTCTTGAGATGCACCTGGGTATCATTCAATCCACCAGGCGGACTCGGGAGTGCCTGGCCCGTAGGGCCTAGGGCCACACAGTTGCAGAATGCTCGAATGTGCCTCAGCGGAACGGAAAGCTAGTTTTCCATTTTTTCAATTGTGTTCCCATCACGTTGACTGTAGGGAAGGTGTACGATATTCTTAACTAATCCATGGTTTCAGTGTAATCAGGCCGAGATTCCCCTAGCAGCAGGATACGCTTGGTTGGTTATGAGCCTCTGAATTCTCTTCTACCATAAACATGATGGGCGCACATGCAATTCACAGATATTAAACCACTAGTACCTTTGTCGGTTCGAAAATACTCGGCCTCCGATCTTTCAGGAGGCCGAAACGAAACGACGACCGCCTATCGAATTTATCAACGGCGGGCTTGGCCTCCTGAAAGCTCGGAGGTAGACCAGTACTTGTCGAAAATATGCGCGGAGGTACTAGTGGTTTAAGCTATCATGGTGCTCGCGGAGTTTTTGCCCAGGTTCACTATGGAGAGCTGGAGAAGATCCAGGTGCTAGCTTTCCACTGTGCACAGACCAAACAGAAGTCTGACTTACAATGGACGCACACCGGGACTTGCTGGCATTCATCAGAGCATTTTGAGCGCCAAACTTCATACACTACATTTTCAGTCACACCCATCTGGCATTACCATCCGAATGATACCTAATGTGGAATGGCATTCCCTCACCGGACCTCAGAAACGCATAGGAAAGAAGGTCAAATTCACACCAAAGAAAGAAGTCAAGAACATACAAGGCAAAAGAAAACAACTTGATATAAGGTTTCAGTTCACTGAGGTTTCAGTTGAAAAACCAAAAGATCAGCAGCATGCATTCACTCGCTTCTTTCCTCACCCGTGGACTGGCGCTGACCCCCAGAAAACAAACATGCAGTGTCTGTGTTCACCTTATCTTGCTATTGACTTGGCTATGGGGAGGCTTCGCAGTGGATTACGCAACCTTAGCGTGGCCCCTTGACCTATAAACGCCGTAGAACGTGAAATGGTCCATAGAGGCCGCCATAAAGCCGTGCGCCTGCCCCTGCTTCGATGCTCAGTAGACTCCTGCACCTTTAAGGGAGCTGGCAACTCTCCCAATTTCTCCCAATTTGGGCGGAAAGGTACATGGAAGAACTGCCCCCTCGTAAACGAGCACCTTAGGCTATTGACTTTAACAAGGCAAACTGCGCTATTGACTTTAACAAGGCAAACTGCGCTATTGACTTTATCAGGCACCTTAGGCTACTGACCCATACAGGCCCCTCCAGAACTGCCCCCTCGTAGACGAGCACGAGCAGCACCGACAACCATGTGCACACACCCTATGCCTTAGCACAGACAATCATGTTCACACAGCGTATGTGTTCCTCGTGCAATAAAATGAAAGCATATGTCGCTTACAATTACTGTCGTGCATGTCTTTCTCGTGTTCACAATGAACTCCTAAACCAGGCCGTAGAAAACAATGCAACGGGTATGGGGGCCGTAGAAAACAATGCAATGGGTACGTGGGCCTGCTTTGTATACGAGCAATGGAATTGATACTCAAATAAGACATAAATAGTTATCAATTACCTTTTGCACTGTTCCCCAGACAGATGGGTCAAAGAAAATGTACGACCCACGCTCATAGGTACTCGTCTTCTCCAGCGGATCCGTGTTCGCAACACGCGTCATCCACATCTGAAGTTCTTTATGGTACCACCATGAACGGTTCATCCTGGCATTCACAGACATCCGATCAAACGATTAGAAAGTTTCCACGAGCCACCCCAAAAGAGCCATATTCTTTTTCTATTTTTTTTCTTTCCTTCTTGTGAGTGAACAAGTCCTTACGGTCCTGGCTCCTTGTCCATTCTGGGAGCGTCATTCCGTATTCGTTCCGCTGGCAAGTATAGAACATAATACAACTCGACGCATCCCTCCGTCTAGGTCAGAGGGGGGAGGAGGAGGTTCCAGGCAGGGTCCCGGCACAAAAAAATTAAAATTAAAATAATACTGAAGTAACAGAACAATAATGTTCTGCACAATTGGATTGCAAACAACTTTGGGCTCCGGTTCACTCTATAATTCCGTTTTCATTTCGAGACAAAAATAAAAAAGAAAACTAGAGTTGAGATGGAAACCTTTGAACCTCTTTAATACTTGTTCGAGCAACTTTATGCCACCCACCCCCCATTGGGCAATCCATCGCCGAAAGGGAAGACAAGAATCTGCAACCCATCGCCGAAAGGGAAGATGAGTCCAGATTCTAACTGCTCACCCCAAGCACAGTCCCAACCAAATGCCAAAAAATTCCAGTTTTCTTTGGATCCTCGCATCTTTTTCTACATGCCCGGTTTCCCATGCAGCTTCAACACCCTGTCCGCCCGCCTGGGCATGCCTAATTCGGTGGGATGGTAGCCTTAGATTTGACTCTGTTTTCCTTTTCTAAAAAAACAAAAAGTCCAGTTCAATACTGACAAAAGTCGCGCATCCATTCTTGACGATACCTGTCAACCCTCAAGATCACTACTTCATGAAATCCTTATCCAACGAAAATGAGCGATAGGGAGATAGAAGATTTCAGATTGCAAAATCACATTGAAAGCCAGGAAGTCCCACACTGTCCAGAAAGCAGAAATGCACAGATATTACACCAATGGAGAACCAGAACACTGAATCCAAGTGTCAATGAGCGCATACTCTCGCCATCACCAACGTAAGTGTCCAGAGTCCTTCCCCTACTTGGCGCTCAGCGCCCAGACAACTATCACACAGCTACTTCCAACCTACAAATTGACAATCCACTTGTTGGCATCAGCAGCAGAACCGGAGTACATGAAGATGTCGACCCATGCAGACTATCGCCAAGACCAGGTATGTGTCCTCACGTCATCTCTCTCTCTCTCTCTCTCTCTCTCTCTCTCTCTCTCTCTCTCTCTCTCTCTCTCTCTTCCTTGTCTCTCACTCACGTCTCCTTCCTCGTACATGAAGACCACCACTACACCTTGCTGTATACCCAAGCTCTGCCACCAATGGAAGCTGAGCTATGGTGCTGCCCTCAGCAGCGCCCTACTCGCATGACCACACATGCACGAACACCTTGCCTAGCGCGACCTACAGCACACGAGCGCAGGCTCAAGCAGGCAGCCACACAAACGGCAAGCGCCCGAATGCCTGGCTAGGCAGCGAGGCAGCGGGCACTTTCCTATATGGAAAGTGTCTGGCCTGGTGTGCTGCCTGGCTGGGCTGGGCCTGTGCCCAGAAGCTTCCGGTAGGCCGTGCGTAGCTGGGCCTCTGCTGCTGCTGCCCTGGGGCCCGTTTGGTTTCGCCTCCCAATTGCCTGCCGTGCATACTGCTGAAAATGCAAAATAGACAACAATGGGCCTCTCGTAATTTTATCAGTCCCGCCTTCACTTAGGGCAGGCACACATGCAAAATGGGCCCCTTAGGCCTGCCGAGGAGCCGAATCCTCGCATTCCCTCCTTTATTTCGATAGTCCAATGAGAAATCATTTAATTTGCAGGCATTTTCCCCTTTAGTCTTCTTTCATATCCTGCAATCACTTGGGGAGCTGTTTGCTGTCGTTCCTCTCTGGTAAACCACCAATCTTCACTTGGATCCGTATGGTGTCTGAATCGCACCCGGTACTGCATCCGAGGCTTTGGGGGTAGTCCTCTACCTGGAGGTTTCAGCACTGGCATTATTCTGCGCTCCACAATGTTGTCAATGTCGACTTCTCGGTCCATGGTTAGGGGCAGCATAGATCGCCTGGAAGGGAACTGTGTTGTTTCAGCAAAAGGTACAAGCTCTGACGTGTGGAAGACTGGGTGTGTACGTAAGTGAGCAGGGATGCGAATCACATAGGACGGTCCATCCATCTGATCCCCAACTATATCTACCACCTCCCATGGACCACAATACTGAGGCATTAATTTTCGTGAATTTGCCGACTCCTGACCGAGTTCAGATGACTTGACCCAAACCCTGTCACCTACCTGTAATGTAGAAGACCGGCTGTGTTTGTTCTCAGATGCAATCATAGCATCCTGAGACTTCCTAATATGCTCAACGGCCTGCTGAAGCGCTGTTCATATTTAATTGCAAATTCTATAATCCCTGGTGTTGCTGTCGACTGATTCTCAGGCAGTAGAAAATCCAGAGCAGATCTGGGTTTCCAACCAAGGTGCAGTTGATTGGGGTTTAGTCCGGTAGTACCATGGACAGCATTGTTATAGAGACCGGCAACAAGAGCCAGCCTCTCATTCCAATCATTTTGACTAGGTTTGATATAAATCATTTTGACTAGGTTTGATATAATGCCGTAGTAAATGCTGTACTGCTCGGTTCATCGGTTCGGCTTGCCAGTTTGACTCAGGGTGATTCGCTGATGTCATCTGCAGTTGGGTGCCCATCTGTTGGGAAGTACTCTGCCGCAGTTCGCTGGTAAAGCGGACTTCCCTATCACTAACGATGGACTTAACTTGGTAAATTGGTCTAGCAAACTTGGTAAATCCGTCCCAAGCGGTACCCAGTTATCCATAAACAGCTTGATGACATAGTCAGTCTTTGCTGTTTCTGGCATGGCCATCAGTCTAGCAAACTTGGTAAATTGGTCCACCGCTTTTGCTGGTCACAAGGGTATCCATGAAACCCATGGACACACTTTGACCGGGACCGTCAGGGATAGGCAAGGGCTTGATGAGCCCAAGCGGAGCCTGAGTCCTAGGCTTGTCCCTCTGAAAAACCTGGCAAGTCTCAACACAATTCTTTGCGTCTTGCAAGATAGTGGGCCACCAAAATCTTTGTACCAAGTTAGCTGAGGACTTTTTATACCCAAAATGACCCGCTGTGTCATGACACTCTCCGAAAAATTAACTGCGAAAAGACTCCCTATCTGGTGCGCGCAGTCTTTTATTCCCAGCCTTCTCAACGAACAGCAAGCCATCAAGCAGCACAAACTGGTCAGAAGTAGCTTTATCTTTAGCTTCCAGTTTGTGAATGATCTCAGACAAAACTTCGCCCTCTCGATAGGCTTCCACCAGGGATCGAGTTACATCGTCAGATATTCCACGCCCAGATAGTCTGCCCTTCGCGATAATGTGTCATCCACTTCGTTGTACTCTCCCTTTAGAGGGTCACGCTTGAAGTCCTACATGTCTATGACATCAACCCACCTCTTCAAGGCATCAGAGAGTGCAGGCTCTATCTTGATCCAGCGCAGCGTCTCATGGTCAGATCTTACATAGAAGAATCTGCCTAGGAGGTAGTGCCTCCAATGGACCAGCGCTCTATAGAGGGCATAGAGCTCTCGCTCGTACGTGGACTTGGCCAATTTTCGAGATGGCATCTTTTTTCTCGTGTACTCAATTGGCCTCAACTTTTTCCCCTCCTTTTGGCGCAAGGACCGCACCTATGCCATATTGGCTGGCGTCAATGGTCACAACAAAGGACTTTTCATGTACTCGATTGGCCTCAACTTTTTCCCCTCCTTTTGCGCAAGGACCACGCCTATGCCATATTGGCTGGCCTCAATGGTCACAACAAAGGGTTTTTCAGGATCCGGAATTTTGAGGACTTCATGGTGTGTCAGGGCATACTTCAATCTCTTGAAGGCTGTCTCCACTCTTCGGTCCACTCACAAGGGGTGTCAAGGAAGGTTAGGTCTGTTAATGGGGAAGCTATAGTGCTATAATTGTTTACATATGAACGATAATAGCCCGTCATCCCCCAAAACGACCTGGCGTCAATGGTCACAACAAAGGACTTTTCATGTACTCGATTGGCCTCAACTTTTTCCCCTCCTTTTGCGCAAGGACCGCGCCTATGCCATATTGGCTGGCGTCAATGGTCACAACAAAGGGTTTTTCAGGATCCGGAAGTTTCAGGACTTCATGGTGTGTCAGGGCATACTTCAATCTCTTGAAGGCTGCCTCCACTCTTCGGTCCACTCCCAAGGGGTGTCAAGGAAGGTTAGGTCTGTTAATGGGGAAGCTATAGTGCTATAATTGTTTACATACGAACGATAATAGCCCGTCATCCCCCGAAACGACCGGACCTCAATAACAGTTTGAGGGTCAGTCACGAATGCTGGCCACTTTGGCATCATCTGCCCTCAAGCCGTCCGCGGAAATCAAATGACCCATACATAAGATCTTGGTGCGACCAAATTCTCCCAGTTGATCTTATACTAGTGCGGTCTTAGGAAACCTAGCACTACTTTCAAGTGCTCAGCGTGCTCCTCTACAATCCTACTAAAGATGAGGATATTGTCGAGGTACACGACAATAAACTTATCCAAGTAGTCATGAAAAATCCCATTCATTGCATGCTGAAATGTACCAGAAGCATTGGATAGACCAAAGGCCTAATTGCAATCTGATGGTATCCGGACTTCAAATCTATCTTTGTGAAGTACCGGCATCCCTGCACTCTATCCAAAAGGTCTTGATGCGAGGTAGAGGCTCTGCGTTCTTAACTGTGATGGCATTGAGGCCTTTATAATCAATGCAGATCCTCAAGGTCCCCCCTTTCTTAGGGACAAAGAGAACTGGTGCTCCATAGGGGGACGTACTTGGCTGAATCCAGCCCTTCTTTGTGAGTTCCTTGAGCTGGCGGCGGAGCTCATCCAACTATACAGGAGATCCTATAGATCCGTTCTCCAGATACTTGACTACCGGGGACGATTTCTATTGCATGGACCACCTCGCCTTCTACCACACCCCTAGGCTCTTCAAA